TGTTATACCAGAGCTCCATGCTGTGATTTCCCCTGAAGGACCTCCCAGTGGGACAAGATGTGGAGGAGGAAGACCCTAATATTGATCCTGACCCTGTGTTGGGCCTAAGCTAATGTGTGTGGTTATGTCTTGGGTTTTTTTACAAGAACATTTAAAAAATTTATCATATAAGTATATGAAGAAAAGATATTTTTGTGCAGCTATACAATTTTTGTGTTTTAAGCTAAGTGTTGTTATAATAGTCTTAAGTAATGGAAAGTAATGCCCTCGGGCAGTGATGGCGAACCTATGACACGCGTGTCAGGTGACAACGTGAACTCATTTTTTTTGGTTGATTTTTCTTTGTTAAATGGCATTTAAATATATAAAATAAATATCAAAAATATAAATCTTTGTTTTACTATGGTTGCAAATATCAAATTTCTATATGTGACACGGCACCAGAGTTATGTTAGGGTTTTTCAAAATGCTGACACGCTGAGCTCAAAAGGTTCGCCATCACTGCCATAGGGCGGCCTTCACATTCATTCACCACTTAATTCACTGACTCACCCAGAGCAACTTCCAGTCTTACAGGCTCCATTCATGTTCAGTTCCTTATACCAGCATACCATTTTTATCTTTTATACTGTATTCTTACAGTGTCTTTTCTGTTTAGATACACAAATACCATTGTGTTTACAGTTGCCTTCAGTAACATCTTATACAGGCTTGTAGTCTAGGTTTGTGCAAAGGCATTCTGGTTGCACAACAAAATCACCTAATGATGCATTTCTCAGAATGTATTCCTATTAAGCAACACATGATGTATAAAGTAAATGCTATACATAGCATACATCAGTGACAGTGTAACACTCCTCTTCCCCCAAACCCCTTTCCCGGGTGCACCCTGGTTGGCTGAATCCAGGGGTGTGGAAGCTGCAGGTGTAGGGGTCCAGCTGTTTTTCTAGGAGATGACGGTCTTGTACTTTTTTTGGTTGGATCCAGAGAACTTTATTGCTAGTGCATGACAACGTAGGGCTCTCTAAGCTCCTTCCCTTCTTCAGCCGGTTTGGGATGGAAACTGGTGGTCAGGAGATTCTCTGTTGGATCGATTGGGGCAAGGACTCCCCAGTATCCGAGGGCCTTTTACTCCTTGGAGACCATGTGGACCATAAGGTTGACCACCCTTTTGCTGTAGCCCAGTTTATTGTCATACCAGGAAATGAGCTTGACAAAGTGATCAACGCCAGCCCCAGCATCAAAGGTGGAAGAATTGGTGTTGCTGTTAAGTTGCAGGAGGTGGCCTGCTCCTTAGTATATAGCCCAGGACGAAGGGGCCTTCTGGTGCCTACTTCACCACCTTGATGTCTTTGTATTTGGTAGCTTTCTTAGGTGGCAGGTCATATTTACATCAACACATTGTTGATAGGGGCACGGAAGGCCTTTCCAATGAGCTTCCCATTCAGCTCAGGGATGATCTGGGTGGCCGTGATGGCATGGACTGTGGTCATGAGTCCCTTCATGATGCCAGCGTCATGGATGAGCTTGACGGGGGGTGGCGGGAGAGGCTAAGCAGTTGGTGTGTGGTACAGGGAGGCATTGCTGACAACCTTGAGGGAGTTGTCATACTTGTATGGTTCACACCCATCCCAAACATGGGGGCATTCGCAGAAGGGACAGCAATGATGACCTTCTTGGCTCCAGCCTTCTCCATGGTGGTGAAGACACCAGTGAACTCCACAACATATTCAGCACCAGCATCACCCCATTTGATGTTGGCAGGATCTCATCTCATTCCTGGAAGATGGAGATGGACTTTGCATTGATGACAAGTTCATGTTCTTAGCCTGTGCCTTTGAAGTTGCTATAGGTATAATCATACTGAACATGTAGACCAGTTGAGGTCAATGAAGGGGTCATTGATGGCAACAATATCCACTTTGCCAGAGTTAAAAGCAGCCCTGGTGACCACACGCCCAATACAGCCAAATCCATTTGCTCCGACCTTCACCATCATGTCTCAAGGTTGCAGCTGTCTGTTGAACAGGAGAAGCAGAGAGCCTCCTTGTACTGTTTTTAAGAAGATTGTCCTAACTAGATAAGTAGTTTTAGTAAATTTTCTATACCTTCTGTAACCCTGAAATAAAATTCATAAACTCCTTTATTGTTGTTACTCCTCACCTGAGGATTTTTAGAGAGGGGGAAAGACAGAAACATCAATGTGAGAGAAATACATCGTTTGGTTGCCTCCTGTACACGCCTGGACCAGGGCCTGGCCCTGGGAGGAGCCTGCAACCTTGACCAGAATCGAACCGGACCCTTCAGTCCGTAGGCTGATGCTCTGTCAACTGAGCCAAACCAGCTAGGGCAGATAAACTACTTATATTTCTTTTTATTACAGTGTATAATGTTTTGATATAACTAAAGAAGACATGATCAACATTCAGTGCTACTACAAATATGGATTGATAAAAAGAGCACTGTATTGGTTGCCCAGATACACTAGCAGCATTATTAATTTTAAAAATCCCTCTCCGCCCTGACTGGTTTGGCTCAGTGGATAGAGCATCGGCCTGCGGACCGAAGGGTCCCGGGCATGTACCTCGGTTGCGAGCACATCCCCGGTGAGGGGTGTGCAGGAGGCAGCTGATCAATGTCTCTCTCTCATTGATGTTTCTAGCTCTCTATCCCTCTCTCTTCCTCTCTGTAGTAAATCAATAAAAATATATTTAAAAAAAGAAAAATCCCTCTCCATGGAAGTTGCATATTTAGTAAATTTTGATGCATATTTGAACAGAAAAAAATGCTAGATTCAGAAATCAAATACATTTACTTACAAGAAAGTCGAGTAGGATACCACATAATTTTTACCTAGTAATTCAGCAAGCCTGACACCCTTCAACCCATAATGCAAATAGTGCCCCCTGTCTCTGGGACAACTTTAAATGCCTTTTGGTAGCCAATACTGCCCTCGTTGAGAATCACTCTTGGAGACTCCCCACCTTTCCTAATTTTTCTCTACTAATTTTCTAAATTTCTACCAATTTTTTGTTTGTCCCCTTACAGCAAGGGTCAAGAACCTTTTTTCTGCCATGGGCCATTTGGGATGTTAATAACATCATTCACAGGCCATACAAAATTATCAACTTAAAGGTTAGCCTGCTATATTTGGTCAAACATTTAATTCACCCCTAATACCTTGTAAGAGCCAGACCAAATGGCCTGACGAGGCTGGACTTTCCAGCCCCTGCCATCATGTTGGACTTAAAACTAATTAGTAATGGTTAATGGAACTGTTTGTAGTCCTGTTAAATATCCTCATGTTAATGATATTCCAGGTTATATGGATTCTTAGGTGTATGCTTTGCTCCATGGATCAGCCAGGAGCCCCATAGTCAATAAGCCAGTCAGTCTAGTTCATTGTAATCTTTGTTCCTTTTGTCATTACACAATAGAACTACTGTTGAGCCCTCTGACTCTGGTTTACTAACAGAATGAAGAGGGTGGGAGATCTCA